TACATACACTCTGTCGGGTACACAGCCAAGCAGCAACCCCGCACCCCCTTTTTAACATTGACGACGGATGTTTTGGGGCGGTGCAAGATTTATGTCATTGGAACGACTTTGTCAAGCCCCGTGTTCATAGCAATGTGAAGAAGGGGGTGCGGAGTGAAGCTTTATAACATTGCTGAAAAGCGGCGCAAGATTTCCTCCATCCACAGTAGTACTAGTACTAGTACTAGTACTAGTACTAGTACTAGTACTAGTACTAGTACTAGCAGCAGCAGCAGTAGAAGCATGCACACCTTGAAACGGGCATGTGACTCAGGGTTTCTACTGTCTACTGTGGCCGAACAAGACACTCGACTCAGAAAAGGTCTCGAATAACACGTGGACTGCGCTCGCCAGAGCTGTCATGAAGATCAGAAACACGTGTGCGGTGAGACCCACCGAGAAAACCGACACACAAAACCCGAACTGAACCAGATCAAGCAGAAGCCCTCAGTACAAGAACGAGTTCGCGGATGACGCTTCCAGGCATCGGACCCCACAGCGGGACGCTTTGTGCAGCAGGGGTGTCAGGCCTGAACGCGAGGCTAAAGTCGTAATCCCTAAGCTTGAACACCCTGAATCCTTGATCCCTAAACACTAAATCCAAGACCCTAAACCCCAAGTTTAGTGAAAGCTTCCGGCTTCGGGCTAAGCTTTTCGAGTTCAGCCCCTCTTCGGACGCTTTGGGGGCGTTGCCCTCCTTTTCTCGGCGGCTCAAAGTCAGAATTTTCAGGTGGAGCTCGGACTTTGACAAAAGCTGCACCCGCTGGTGATCTATCTTAGGGGGAGAGGGGGGGAGGGGGTCCATGAAGTTCTAAACCCGAAGCCCTAAATCCCTAATCCCCAGACCCTAAGCCCTAAACCCTAAACCCTAAACCCTAAATCCTGAAACCCTGAAACCCTGAAACCCTGAAACCCTGAAACCCTGAGGCTGAGGACTGAAGGGCTCCCTTGCCCGAGCCTTGGGCCTTGGGGGTTGGGATTTAGAGATTGTTAGGGGTTCGGGATTTAGGGATTTAGGGTTTAGGGGGTTTCGAAATTTAGGGATTTAGGGATTTAGGGATCGGGATTTAGGGATTTAGGGATTTAGGGGTTTAGGGTTTAGGGATTTAGGGATATAGGGATTTAGGGATTTAGGGATTTAGGGGTTTAGGGTTTAGGGATTTAGGGGTTTGGGAATTTGGGGTTAGGGGTTTAAGGGTTTAGGGTTTAGGGATTTAGAGGTTAGGGTTTAGGGATTCAGGGATTTACGGATTTAGGGATTTACGGATTTAGGGTTTTTAGGGATTTCGGGATTTAGGGTTTAGGGGAGGCCTCCAGAAGTCAAGAAGCCGACTGTCGAGTGGAATGCTCGGATCAGAGGAGAAGCCCGCATCGAGAATATTTCGTTTGATCCGTCCTAGGGTTTAGGGTTAAGGGTTTAGGGTTTAGGGTTTAGGGCTCTATAAGGTGTATATAGACCTTCTATACGGCTCCTATAACGGTAACTACCCACCTGAAAAATGTCCTAGATTCAAGCTCCCAGCTAGACTCTCTCTGGATTTGGGACATCATCGAACAGCGGCCAGGATCTTTAGCTGCACATTGAACCTAATCCGCCCACATTCGACCTTGCACCTTGGTGTTACTCTGAAGCATGGCCCTGAAGTGTGGTGCGTTCCTCAATGGCTTGCAGGTACTCGACAACCCCGCATCCAATTTATGACTGAACTTGATGAGATTGTATGAGGGTCCTGGCAACGCAGGTGCCCAAATCACACATAGCTTTGGGAGGTGAGTGCGCCAGATTCGCATCGGGACTATGACGTAGAAGTATGACGAGAATGAATGACTGCGTTCCAGGATCCTAAGCGCAACCTGCCTGGATCCAAAACCTCCCTGAACCATCCACTCGCCGCCGTCGTAGTTGACGACCTGCGCGGGGCGATCTTGTTCGAGCTTCCGCATTCACAGTGAGTTTATACTATTGCAGGAAACAGGTTCCAAGATCTTCCCCAGAGGGAGCCTGCTGGATGCCAACGGCCGTTGCCGAGGTGAAGCTTGAAACGTGCACATCCTGCAGGCCCGCCGCTCTGCTGCTTTGGGGGCAACGGAACGGGAGTTCGGGTAGCGGGAATTTGGGGTTCCGGGTTTACGGTGCCGAATATTGCTCTCATCTTGTAACTAAGCAAGTCAGTCCAGCCGTTCAGAGTGATATCAAATTATTCATATTGCCACGGTTCTTTTGCCGCTAGACCAACCCGGTCCCTGAGTCTCTAAACTGCATGAAACCAAGTCTAGCCGAACGACCGAGACTTTACCCAACCTTGACTGAAGTCTGTTCAAACTCGCGGATTGAATCCCACGCCACCTGGACCTGGCCTCATTTCAGATTTCAAGACCCTGCTACGACGCGCCCGGACACGCCTCCTGTTCCAAGCCATTACATCCACTACACGCCCGGACGCCCGTCGCGTGGAATGCTTGCAAACGCTTGCGAACACAAGCCGGCACTTACAGACGCTTTGCGAAACGCGATTCTGGGAGACGCACACGCATTTAAACGAGAACGCTGCGGTGCCTCGAACAGGCTCCATCTAAGACAGAGCACCAAGTTCTAACCGGATGCCTAAGAGAGGATCCTCAAAGCTGCCATCCTCAAGATCCGAAAGGCCAGTTGCTCCGAGTTTTAAGGTTGTGGGCTTTAGAGATGCTTCCGGCAGCTGTCAAAAAGACATGGTCCCCTGCACTTTCCATTCTGCGGTACGAGACGGCACGAGGAGCTCCAAGCACCGGAGCCCTCATCTGCAACCCTAAAGCCCAGGGCCTGAAACCCTAAACCCTAAAGCCCAGGGCATAAAACCTGAACCCTAAACCCTAAAGCCCAAGGCCTAAAGCTGAATTTGTTGAACCCTTGGGTGCCTGGCCTGCGTCTGCGATGCCAAGCTGTCCAAATGTCTTGGCCTCGGAGGTCTAAGGTCAGGCTCGGGGTTGCTTCGGACTTTCGTGGCTTTTGGATGCTTGCTTGCTGTTCAAGCGAAGGTTTTTCGGGGTGCGATTGGCGAAGGCTGTCGGTTCTGGTGATGGCACTGGCAGTGCTTCTTTTCCATACTAAGCTTTGCAGGTTGTTCGCCTCTTGTTTCTCCTTGCCTTGCAATGGCCTTACAACTGCAACCATCACCCTAGACCCACAACCCACACCCTGAATCCTTTTCACCTGCACCTCGAGCCCGAAAATCATGTGCCCAATCAACTCTGACCCAATCAACTCTAACAAATTCCTCATGATTCCCCAACAAGCCCCGATAGCACCCTGCATTACAAGCCTCTCCTTGCTACAAGAACCCCGGATGTTGTGCGACTCAGGTTTTCGGCTGAGGGGACATGCGCGAAAACTGTCTTGGCACAACTCCCCGCCATGTTTTCCTCATAGCACTGCAGGCCTTGACCTTGAACTCTCAACCCCTAAACCGCCCTAAAGCCCCCAACCCCTACGTAAAGCCACTGAAACTCTCCCGAGGTCGAAGCAAGGAGCATGTTATGGACGCACCGGAATCCGGAATTCAGGATTGAGGCTGCGAGCTGAAGCAAGCTCCTATGAACAAGCCTGCCTATAACTCCTGCCCCCCTCCCCAAAGAAACTCTACAAATGCATACATGCACAGAAAAACGTACACGTCTGTGAGCGGACTCTTACAGCAATGAAGCTTAGCCCGAAACTCCGACGTCACCGCGGAAGGCTGCCTCGCAAGCCGGGAAGAAACGGAGACCCGCTACCCGGATGTTGAGCGTTGAAAGCAGGGTTTTGGGGAGGGCTTGACATGTCTTGCAGCGGGGGCAACACATGTGCCCCGTAGCTGTTTGGTCTTTATAGCGCTCTTCTAAGCCTCGTAGAGCATGTGTCTGGCTTGAACTTCTGCGCTCGCGCAATCGCGCGATTGGCTGTTCCCCCCTTCTCATCATGCTGTGCTGCCACTGAGCATCACTGGGCTTCGTAGACACATTGACACCGCGTTGCAGCAAGCGGGGCCCCACCCAGGGAGGCTTCGGCCCGGGAGGATGGTTACAATGCACCGCTCTTGGGTTTGAAATTTGCCGCCTGAGGTCGGTGCGATTGACAGAAATCCCGGAGCCCACAGCCCGAAACAAAGAGCAGTCACACCATCCCCTATTCAGCTGTCCTGCCCGCCCAGTGCCCTGCCCTACCCTGACACTACACTCGGTAGCTCTTGAAACCCTCTCGTCCCACGGCTTCGGGATAGGTCTTAAGGTGGACATCTCGCCTGTCGGATTCTCTGCTTCTGTTTTGCGCTGCCGGGGACTTCGAGGAATCCTGGTGCGCCAGCACGGAGGATTTGCTTTCCCAGTGCGTGTGTGTATAGAGAGATATTCCCAAACATATGTAAGTGTGCATACATAGAAAGAAATAAGTGAAAATAAAGATATATAGAGATGTGTGCATGTGCATATATACAATTACACGGGGGCCGACCGGGTTTCCCTGTGCCGGGATAGATGTGCATGCATGCATGCATGCATGCATGCATGCATGCATGCATATGTATATATATATATATACATATACGAATGTGTGTTCAGTTTTATAAACTACCTATCTGTGAACTCACAAATCTGTAAACCTGCGATCTGCGATTCTTCGCAAACACAGAGATTTGCAGATTACACAGACCCTCTGCATGATCTGCTCTGCAAATCTAGAATCTAGAGACATGTGCGAATCTGCAAATCTGCGAATCTG